TGCAGGCAGATTCATTCACTCTTCACTTGGTGAGACCCACACCCGTGCTTGATTGCTGGGAACCAGGGTAAGACCCTAATCCTTTTCTGGCAGTGGGCGGTGTGGTGAAGAACCAAGTGCCCACTGAAGGCCAGTCTTGGAAGTATGCTGTCTTCTTTCTTTATTCCTCCTCTCCCTGGGGCAGGGATTTTCACTGTGACAACTCTGGCTGTCCTGGAACTCACTTTCTAGACCAGGCTGGATTTGAACTCATAAAGATCCACCTGCTTCTCCCTCCCAAGTACTGGGATTTAAAGGGTATCCCGCCACTCCCAGCACATGCTGTCTTTCTTATACTGTTGGGTTGGCTGGGGTAGGAGGTGTGAGAGCTCCTAGGTATGTGTCCTAGACTACAGGGAGATACTTTACCACACACTGACCTCAGGAAACATTGGTTCATTGTGTTACTCGTCACGTCCAGCCGTGGTTCCCAGGCCAAGATGCAGACCTTAGGATCAAGGGGGCAGAACACCAACTATATGTCGGTAGCCATTTACTTGGGAACTGTGGTGCTGTAGGAAATCCTTCAGCCAGTAGCCTTTAAGTTACCCGCCCACTTGGGCGTGGCCTCCTAGACTAGACATGCCTGCATAAAGTGCGCATGCCCCTCTCTCTTCAGGCTTCTGGATTCGGGTCCTGTTTCTCCGTTCCTGCCACCTCCTACCACAACGTGGTTCTCCTGCCTGCAAAGTGTCCCGGACCCAGCTGTGCGGGCTTTGCATGTGATGGGGAAGATGGCTGTATAAAGGGTAGAGCTGGTGTGTGCTCCCGTGTCCCCTCTCTACATCTACGTGACCTTGGCAAGAAACTCAATGCAGGTGACTGACTCTGCTGTGGGCAGCTGACGTTTTTCCTAAACTCCGTTTGCTCCTGGCCAAGGTAGGGCTTGAGTCTAAAGGAATTGAGTTAGAAGGCACAGGTAGCTAGAGGCGGAGTCTTGACCTGTGATGCAGGGAGCTTGATGGGCTGCGAAGGGCAGAGACAGAAAGATCTCTGACCTTCACTGGTGATGCCCATTGGCTGCTCCAGGGCCACTGGCTACCTTCTACCCCCAGGCTGCATTGTATATCAGCTTCCCATGACAGTCTCGGCTTTTATGTACATCCATGCTGGACTAGACCCAAAGAGGTGCCAAGCTGGTACTTTATGGCTATACACTAGCTTCATCTTCTTCCTTCTTTTTTGCCTTCTCTTCCTCTTCCCTTCTCTTCCTTTTTATTTCTTCCTTTTCTTGCCTCCTTTCTCCCTTTCCTCTCATCTCTCTCTCCCTTCCTTCTTTCTTTCCTACCCTCCTTCCTTCCCTTCTTCCAACGCTCTGCTTCTCCTTTCTCATGTATACTGTAGGACACTGTGTATGTTTTTACGTGGTGTCAACCCATTTGCTTGTTTGTGACTAGCATCCCTCTGATTAGCTTTGCGTGGGATGACTTTTTACTCTTCAGTTGGCATCTTGTGGTGTTCTAACAAGTGGTTAAAGGTTCTTTGGGAGGCTGAATTAAGCCCAGCTTAGGTACTTCTCTAGCCTTGGTGATTGTGGTCTGCTCTAACCTAAAGGAAAATCTAGTCCCTCCCTCGACTGTGTCACTGTCCTGTCAGGCAAACAGCCTGTCCCTCTCAGTCAGTCTGGGGGTGGGATGTGGGAGAAGGTCTTGGTTCCCACTCAGGCCCAAATTCTAATGGTGACGGTGGCAGACACCTGATAGAATGTAGGGAAGGCGCTGGGAACATCCCCTGGCCTGGAGACATCTAGCATACTTTTCCGTGAATACAGAGATCAGATCAGTGTTTTCAAGGGCAGCGAGAAACAGAGGACAAAGGAATAAACATCTCCATCTCAGAGAACTCTGGAGCTTACCCAGTTGTCAGAGTTTTCAGTGAGTTGGAGGAGGCCACATTCCTCGACCTTAGGAAAGACTTGGGCTGCCTTGGGATCTTGTCATCTCTGCTTTGGGCATTGTATTTAAAAATTCCCAGGTCAAATGTGCCCCTGTATTTTGGCCATTTCTCCACTGATGTAATTGGCACCTGATCTCTGAGCGAACAGAGTCTAAATAGGCTCTCGACACTAATAAACAAACCCTTCTTAATATCCTTGGGGTTGGAGACGTGCAGACAAAAGACAGCTTAGACCTGGCTTCCATGCAACTCACATATGGGACACAGTCAACCGATGAGTTCAGAACTGGGGGGAGGGATGTTGACTGAGGTTTTCTGTCCTGCCTGGCTTCTGTCCTCCCACCAGGTCCCACAGCCATTTAGCCCCGAAGAAATCACACAGAGATCTACATTAACTATAAACTGATTGGCCCATTAGCTCAGGCTTCTTATTAACTCTCATAACTTATATTAGACCATTATTCTTATCTATGTTAGCCACATGGCTCAGTACCTTTTCCAGCAAGGCAATCACATCACATCCTGCTTCTTCAGTGGATGGGCCAGGACTGGGGAGGAATGGGCTTCCTCTTTCCCAGAATTCTCCTGTTCTCATTGGCCCACCTCTACTTTCTGTCTGGTTGTCCCGCCTATACTTCCTGCCTGGTCACTGGCCGATCAGCGTTTATTTAAAACATAATTGACAGAATATTGGCAATTGTCCCACACCAGAGGGATGCAGAGATTTGTGTCTGAGCTGTTCTAAGACAACGATGTGGAGTAGAAGATGGGGGAAGGGAAGGTTTCCTACAATAGGAGTGATGGGCTAAGTAAACAGCCGGGTCAGGAGGCTAGGGAGAGAGCATAGTGGGTGGAAAGAAAAGCCTTAGACGCTGCCCAATTGCAGATAGCTCTTGCTGTGAGACTGTGCCAGGCATCTCCTTGTTTATCACGGAGCTTATTATAACCCAGGGGCGCAGGAAAGTGGAAGCAGAGTGAGCTGGGGTCATCGATTTCACGTGAGGACCGATGGGAACCATATCCTTGCTAGGAAGGAAGTTTATTTTAAAAATATGTTCAGGGTTGGGGATGTTGCTCGGAGGATACAGCTTGCCTATGATGAATGAAGCCTGAATTCCCAGCTACAGGTAAACCAGGCATGGTGGCACATAACCTTAAGCTCAACATTTAGGAGACAGAGGTGAGGGTCAGAAGTTCAAGGTCATCCTCAGCTACATGGCAGGCTTGTGTCCAACCTGAGATACACGGCTCTGAAAGGAAAAAAAAATTAAAAAGAAAGTAGATGTTTAAGTGAACCAGAGAATAAAACAAACAAGGCTCTCATGTTTGTAGAGCCCTTCACCATTTCAAAACCATTTTTTTCCAACTTTACATAGATGAATGTCCAGCTTGCAGATGTGAGATGGAGGGGTGAGGCGGTGGCGTGGATCGCTGCCAGTGGATCTGGACCCGAGCCAACCATGTGACTCAGCTCTCATATCCCCACTGTACCACACTTTCCAGATCGCCACAGGACGTACTTCCTGCAGAATTACTTCATGGCTCTGTTCTCCAGAACCTTCTGCTTACGGATGAAATGAGCTCTCGGTTAATAGTCTTCAAATTCGTCTTTCAAAAATAGTTTATATGTGTGTGGGTGAAAAATGTCACAATAAAAACCGTGGTTTTGTACAATTAATAAGTACTGAAAAGAAGAAATCCTAGTATACTCAATTCTTGACTCAAAATTCTTCTGACTTCAATTTGTTCTCACTGTTTTGAGGTTCACTGCTGTGTGGTGTTTAACTCTTTTAGGTTTTTGAGGGGCCCACCACCCAGCTCCCAAATAAATCACTCATGGAGGCTTCTCCTTAAGTTATGAATGCCTGGCCTTAGCTTGGCTTGTTACTTGCCAGCTTTTTTAATGTTATCCCAAATACTTTTTGCCTCTGCGCTTTTCCCTTTATTTCCATATACCTTTCTTTGCTTTTTTTCTCCATGGCTTGCAGTGTAGTTGGGTGGCTACCCATGGTGTCCTCCTCTCCTTGTTCTCTTTCTCTTGTTCCTCCTTCTCTCTCTGCCCAGGCTTCTGCTTCTATTTATTCTGTCTGCCAGCCCCGCCTGTTCTTGATCCTACCTTGCTATTGGCCGTTCTTCTCTTTATTACGACCATCAGGCGTTTTAGACAGGCACAGTGACACAGCTTCACAGAGTTAAACAGATGCAGCGTAAACAAAAGTCACACACCTGAAAGGAATGTTCCCCAACCGTTCACTTTGGTATCTAGTTTGTTTTCTGGACCTTGACGATCTCATTATGGTAGCTAGGATGCAGACAGCAAGGCTTTGGCATGAGAACTGTAATTTTAGTGTTCTGTTTGGCTTTTTTTTTTCACCCGAGAGCCTGAAAAAAATCAGGTTTTCAGGGGGAAAGGGAGAGGGAGAGAGAGTGGGAAGGACCCTGTGAGGAAGTTGAGGACTTTGGAGGCAAGAAGGGGTTTCCAAAGACTATTGAAATATCAGATATTTACATTACGGTTCATAACAGTAGCAAAATTACAGTTACAAAGTAGCGAGGAAATAGTTTTGTGGCTGGGGGTCGCCACAATGGGAGGGACTGCTCTAAAGGGTCGCAGCAGCGTTAGGAGGGTTGAGAACCACTGATTTAGAGGGAGAAGGCAAACTCAAGTGCTCCCTGATCCTGGGTGTGGCCCCGGCTGAGTTTGCTGAGGAGTTCAAAATCACACCTGTAACATGAGGGGGCCGGCTTGTTGCGGTTTCTGTCCCGCCCGGTACCCCACAACCGGCAAACCCCAAAGAAAGATCACACACAGGACTCCATAAGGTTATAAACTGATTGGCCCATTAGGTCAGGCTACTTATTAGCTCTTATAACTTATGTTACCCCATTATCCTTATCTACGTTAGCACATGGCTCCGTACCTCTTTCAGCTGTCAGCTTACATGTTGCCTCTTTGGTGGTCTGCGCAGGAGTGCTGGAAGAGCTTCCTTCTTCCCAGAAGAAATACTCCTGTTCTCATCGCCCCACCTCTAATTCCTGTCTGGTTGACCCGCCTATACTTCCTACCTGGCCAATCAGCATTTTATTAAAGTATGATTGACAGAATACAGACAATTCTCCCGCATCACACACCCATGTCCTATTTGTCTTCAGCGGAAGAGATTTCAGTGTGTCACAGTGACTTGGGAAGTCCCCCGAGGAGACATGCTGTCACTGGTAGGTACGGCTTTTCTAAAGGGAGACAGAATTGGGAAAGGCCTGGGAATGAGCAAACCCACCCACCCACCCGGCTCCTGCCACTTCCAGCAGCACCATGGCAACCATCTCCTCCACGGTCCCTCCCACCGACAGCTTCTCTGCTTACACCACTATATCCAACTACCACCACCGCCTCTAACAGCCCCATTAATTACGACTGCCATTGCTGCTGTCTTTAGCATCCCCACTGTAACCACCTACGGCATTCTCAGGTTTACTAACACCACCACCACCACCCTCGTCCTTGTCATTATTACCTCTGTCGGCACCACAAACCACCACGAGCTGTCCACCGCGTCACTCCATCATCACTCCATCATCACCATTACCTTTATCACCACCACCCTCCACGTTATCTCCACCTCTCTCTCTACCGTTGTCACCTCTGTGCCATCGTCACCACCACCACTCTCTTTACTACCACCACGATCTCCGTCACCATCTGCTCTGTCAGTCTCTACCGTTACCACCACCCTCACCTCCAACACCATCATCTGCACCAGCTCTTCCACCAATCGCCACCATCACCATTACCTTAGTAACCACCACCACCACCACCAGTTTCACCACGACCTCCATGCTACCCCCGACCAACCCCTTTGCTGTCACTACCATCACCACCTTCAATGTCTTTATCTTTACTAACCCTCCACCATCAGCACCACTACCCTGCTTTGCCATTCTCATTTACTAGGCACCTTTGTGGCCGTCCCGTTTCACAGCGGAGGGAACCGAGTCTCAGGCTAAGTGGTTTGTTCAAGCCCATACAGTAGCAAGCTGGAGAGTCAGGATTTCATTCCAGGTCTGTATGAGGGAGACGACTTGAAGGCTGCGTGGTCGGGTGTGAACTACGTCCTGGGTCTTAGTTTATCTGTAGCCAGGCGCCTCTTTGTTTGGGTTTGCGAGGCTCCTTGTGGGCTATGACCAGGACTGACAATCTGTTTCCCTTTCTTTTTCTGACTTTCTTTCACACATCCTGGATCGTCTGTCTTTTCTGGTCAGGACAAATAAAAATGTTTTATGTCCCTCCTCCCTTTTTCTGGGCTTTGGATGTAAGTGTTTGCACACAGTTCTGGAAGCAGATGGAGTGGGATAGAAATCCATGTGATAATTCAAACTCAGAAGCTCAGTGAAAACACTCCCGTGCATCGATATCTCCAAAAATCCAGAAGACCGAGAGAGATATCTAGATAGATAGATAGAGAGAAAGGGACAGAGATGCAGACACACACTGATCGTGAACCTTTGTGTTTCAGGATTCAGAGATGCCAGAACCCCTGGCTTTTCAGTAACTGCGTATTTTCCAAGCCGTGGCAAGTCAAGGTGACTGGATGTTGCTTTCTCCTTGGTGCCATTGCTACACACCTGCTGTCTCTAGGAGCCTGGCTTCCCTTCAAGTGAGGAGGACATAACTCTTTCCTTGGAGAGTCCATGGCTCCACGCCAGAGTCTGGAGTGTCTACAGGAAATAATAACACATTGCCAGATGCCCCAGGTGAGCTGTGACCATCTCTTGGCTCGTTTGGAGAGCATGCCTCCAGACCATTCCTTCTAAAGATAACTCCCCTGCATGAAACCAGCTCAAAGCGCTCTTCTGGCATCTTCAGGGGTTAAATTGAACTGGGGCTTCTTTAGGCTTCTGACCCATAATAAAATCTCCTTGGAACCCGGTTTACCATAGTGTGTTTGGCCCGAGGGCAACTGGTTGGCTTGACTGCACGCCATTCTGGGTGTGTGTGATTTGGGATCTGTGAGAACACAGGTATGGAGACTTCAGTACCAATATCTATGTCAGAAGGAATGGTGGGGAGGAGGGTTTCCTTATGAGTTGCCTTTCACCTCCTGTTTTCTCCTTTGCCCTGTGTATTCCTCCTTGGGCAACTCAGGGCCATTCGGGAGGTTGGTAGTAGACCTCAGAGTGAACTCGGGCCTGGGTCTACGTTTCTGTCATCTCCATGAATTTCCTTGGAGCCTCCTTGGGAAGTGGGAAGACTGGTAGCCTTCTTGCTTAGCTTTCAGGGGTGCTTGACAGAAAGGGGGGGTCTATGTCTTTGTTTGGGTTTCTATAGCTGTGAGGAGACACCATGACCACAGCAACTCTTATGAAGAGAACACTTAATTGGGGTGGCTCTCTTACAGTTTCAGAGGTTCAGTCCATTATCATCAGGGCAGGGAGCATGGTGGCACAGAGGCAGACATGGTGCTGGCTACATCTTGGCTTGCAGGGAACAGAAAGTCGACTGGCTGTGAAGCTCAAACAAAAGACCTCAAAGCCTGTCCCCACAGTGGACACACTTCCTCCAGCAAGGCCATACCCACTCCTGCAAAGTCACACCTCCCAACAGTGCCATTCCCTATAAGGTTATGGGGGCCAACTATATTCAAACTACTGCAGACTAATCGTCCCGGAAATCCTTCTCAAGGAAGAAAGCAGCTTCTTCGGTCGTTATTGGTGGTGGCTGCTTTTGGAGGTAGGTGTTGGAGAGGATGGGGTCAGGGTAAAAGAAAGTGTGTGTGTGTGTGTGTGCGTGTGTGGTGCGGAAGGCAGCTGCCATCCCCACCTCGGTTACGTGACAGACACAAAGTATCCTCCCTCAGCTGACCTTGGAGGAGTTAACTCCATTTCCCTCAAGAGTTAAGAGCAGATGCGGGTTTGGGCGCTGCTGACTGTTTAAAATCCCTGCCACAGAAAAGTTCCTGAAGTCTGGGGAAAACTTTTGTTTCCACTTAAAAATGGATGTGTTGGTATTTCTTCTTAAAAGAAGAGTTAGTCTCATTTTTCAACATGAAACATGGAAGTGTTTTATTATAAAATAGAAAGGCAGAAAGTCAGGCGTAGGTCGTTGGTACAGAAACACATGGGCTTCGCCTCCCTTCCTCGGTCCGCTGGCTTAGATTCAGGGGTGATCCTGGCAGTGGCAGGGGTGAGTACAGGGGTAGGCAGGGGTGAGTACAGGGGTGGGCAGGGGTGAGTACAAGTGATCAGAGTCCCTGGTGCTCTTCTTTGGCAGCAGAACGACTTGCTGGCTCAGATCCTGTGGTGTGGAATTGGAAGACACTGGCATCATGGGTGGTTCACCAGGTCCAGACCTCTTCCCAGGCTCTACCAATTCATCCCCGCAAGAACCCCACGAAGGAGGGGCTGTCTCTCTGCACTCTCTGCCCTCATGTGGCGTATCCTGTCACCCAACCTCCATCCTACTGCCCCAAGAGGAGACTCAGCAGGGGCCATTAAGAAACCCCAATGTGGGATTTGAACCCCGGTCTTTGGAATTCAAAACTGCTGTATTGTGTTGCTGTCCTGGGCTAAGCAAAGAAACAGAGGTGGTTAACAGAGCAGGTCTGGTGTGTGTGTGTGTGGGGGGGGCTCTTTTCCCTCTGACCTCCCTCCTAAGCCCAACAGAGCGGGCACACCACAGGCATCTGCCTTTGATTGGAACCGGCAAGGCCAGCAGAGACAGGAAACAAAGCTGCGGTCCAGAGCCTCCCTCCTGCCCCGAGAAATGCCATTTACAGATGGAGAAGGGGAGAAAACATGGGAGGACAGGAAGCTGCAAATTCAACAGATGCACAGTAGCATCCTGGGAGGTAGGGTCACAGCCCACTGAGAGCAAACAGCCCGAGCCACAGGTTGGAGTGTAAACACCGAGGCATTGAAGCCTGGTTTGCTTAGGGGGACCACAAGGGCTGGGCTGTGGAGGGAGAGGTTGCCTGGTGTGCAGTGGCCCATGAGGGAGCCCTGTCTGGGAGCTGAAAAGAAAACATGAGTCCGTCTTTCAGAGCTGACCTGGGGGACATCAATGCCTTCTGGCTTGGTTTCCCACAGGGCCAAACATAAAGCCCTAGGGACAGAGGCAGCAGAGTCAAGGAAGAACATGCTGGCTTCAGGGGACCCAAAGAAGACACTAAAGGAACCTGTGGATGAATTCAGGCAATTGGAGACCTGGGCGAGCCACCGCTTCCCTCTTTGCCTCTGTAGTTAAAACTGATGTCATTGATCTGTGTCTTGAGTGGGAAAGAGGCTTGCCAGGGCTCCGTCCAGGGTGGGGACTGGATGACCCCCAGGCAGAAGGAGTAAAGCCGAGGGTTTTAGTGCAATCCCTGATTTAAGTGTGACTGGTGTCTTTATGAGAAGATTAGGACAGACAGACACTCACAGACAGAAGCTCATCATTTGAATGCACAGGGAAAAAGCCTTTGAGAGTGCAACCTGCCTTCAGAATGATAAGAACAATATACAACTTTTTCTCACGCCACCCGTCCTGTGGTCCAACAAGGACCCTGGACCTGCCTGGATAGAAGAGACCGGCCAGTGCCTGGGGCTGTGACTATGGGGGCTCCAGAGTGGGCTGGACAATTTTAGGAGTGGTAAACCGTCACCTGGGACAGTCAAGAATTGCTTCATGGAGGTTGGGCTGACTTAGCTTTCATTTCCTGTTCTCTGAAATGGGGAAGAGAGGTGCTCCTCCCCAAGAGCTGGCTGTCAGGAGCAGAATGAGGGAATTCACTTAGAGCATCAGGCAAAGCCATCTGGTTCTCCCAAGCCAGCATCTACCTGCTCCACAATTCCAGAGCCACTCGTGAAAACTGCAAGTCCTCAACGGAGGCAGTGGTGCTGGACCGGATCGTCAATGCCCTGTTCGATTCTGCCGCAGGCGAGAGCCTTCATCTGGGATATGAGAGCCAGGGGACTGCCTGTTGTAGCCTTGCTTTTTCTACTTGTCCCTTGGTTGTCAGTTTTGTCCTTCATTCCACAGTCACTACTTGTGTCTTTATCTGTGCGCCAGGGATGGGGCAGGTGGTATCTCCAATCATGCCGAGCTTATACTTAGCACTAGGTGTTTAAATTTCTCTGCTTTGCATGGGGCTTCGTCTGCTCCCACGTAGGTGACCTGTTCTAACAGCCCTTGTGCAGCAGTTGACCAGACTGCATTGCATCAGGTACGCTATCAGGGAGGGTATCAGTGAGGCCCCTGTAAGAGGAGGCCTGAAGAAGCAGGTCTGAGAGGGCTGATTTTAGCCACATGCAGACTTTTATTCTGCGGCCGGATTTAGCTTCCTCTTCTGCAAAATGTAAACCATCACTGTATTCACCTCACGAGTCCATTGGAGGATAAAATGAGTTAAGGCATACCATGCAGGCTGACTGGTACCCAGCCTCAATCAAAAGGTCAGTACGCACACACCCTTCTTTCTATTGTCTATGGAGAAGGAAAGGCTATTCTCCAACCAGGGGGCAGCAACGTGTACTACAGTTAACAGGACACATGACCCCACACGGATTTGTTTATTTCTGGGCTGCCTGATTTAAAAGTCTCTTTTGGTGACCTGGAGAGTGGTTAGACATGGGTGTGCTGCAAATGCCTGCTCCAGGGCCGCTTACCTGGAAGGGACATTACCTGCCGGGAACATTGGGTCAGGCCCAGAGAGGCTTTAGGTTGTCACGGCTGGCCTATGTTGGGGATGCTAGTGGCATCTACAGAATTGAGACTGAGGGTGTCTAAATATCTTACCATGCACAGCATTGCTCCCAAGAAAGTTATTTGACCTCGGATACCGAAAGTGTTGCTGCCCTGTGACCTCAACAGCAGGCAATCTTTATGGTGGAGAAAACATGTCAAAGGAAAAGGGTTTGCTTTCTGAGTCGTCAGGGCTCTGCTAGGAGGCCAGTACCTATCTTTGCAAACCCGTGGACCCCTAAGGCCCCCTTAGGAGAGCTGCTATTTAGGATTTGACATAATGTAGAAACTGGTAGCCGAGAAGCATTAACCTTCCACTCCGGTCTTCCATGTGTGACTGTCCTTTGTTCCCTGCTCAACCTTTGTCATAAGCAGGGAGACTCTTGGTCCACTATTAGTCTCGTTTTCAATTATTTAATCATCTTTGTGGGGTTCTGATGAAGTCTTTCTGTTATGGAACTGGATTGAGAGTCTCCCAGAGCCCAGGCATGGAAGAATTCTTACCTAACTGCCATTCCCACCCAACGTTACTAGAGTAACATGCGGGTGTGCCCTTGAAGTGGTGAGTTCACCCTGCTGACACCTGGGAGACCTGCCTGTCCCTGAGATTTCCATCTGCTTTCTTTGCATATATGTCCTCTCTCTAGTTAGATAAATTCTCTGTCTCCCAGTTTCTATAAGGAATGATCATCCATGATAATTAATAGAGATAATTAAGAGAGAGTAATTTGAAAAAGAAGTCAAACGAATAATAAACAAATGGCACACATAACCTATGGTTAAAAATAAACAAAATGAAAGAAAACCCCAAGGGAGACTTTGGGTAAGAATGAGGAGAAAATAGAGAATTGTGTAGTGCCTTGAAGGACAACATTGGGTGCTAACAGATAGCTCTTTACAGTGTCTCACAGAAGAGAGATGTCACAATGCAGAAGCAGCTTGGTCACGTGACTCCAAACAGCTCAAGCTGTATCTTTTGTCTCATGGCTGATCTGTCTTCGGAATCTGCAGCACGAGCCATAAGGGTCTGTCTAGACCCTTAGCAGGAAGCAGCAGAAGAGGGCAGTCACCAAAGCCACCAAAGCCTGGGCTCGAGAACCAGAGGGACCTTAATATAACGTTAGCGTCATTACTCACTGTATTGAATGACCAGGGGCAACTGACCTGTGTCTTCTGGATTCCAGTTTTGCAAAGGTGA